ACTGCTGCCTACAGAAAGCTGAAACAGGATCCACATCTCACACTATAAACAAAAATCAACTCAAGGTGAATCAGAGATCTGGGAGTAAAGCCCAAAACCATAAAGTTCATCAGCGACAAACTGGGATCAAACTTAATTCTATAAATTTTCAGTATCAAAAAAGTTGTTTCAATTTGTTTTCTTAAACTTATTTATGTTTAAGTGTTCTATGCAATCCAATTGTTTTGTAATTTTTATAAATTATATAATTTATATAAATTATATAATTTTGAGTTATTTTTAGACTATTTTTGTCTTACCTACTTACTGCTCTCTTAACAAAATAAATCATCATTGGGTTGCTTTAAAGAAAAGGAAATTCTTTCTCAAAGTCCACATCAAAACTCCTATATGTTAATTACTTCATGGGTCTCACTCAGTTTATCAATCATTCTTTGACATTTTTCTCCCAAGTGTTTATAGTTTTGTGTCTATTCTACTCCTTTTATAATTAAAAAATTATTAGGTTTAGAACCCTCCTTACTCTGGCATGGCTTCAATATCATGTTGTGGTGTTGTTATATGCTGTTGAGTTGCTTGCAACTCATGGCGACCATGTGTACAACCTTCTCTATCCTGTGCCAACTTTACTGTCTCTGACACACCTACCTTCATTGCCCCATCACTGGATCAATCCTCATCGATGGTCTTCCTCTCTCTTTCTGACCCTCCACTCTTCCTTGCAACATGTGCAAATGTGTCAGACAAAGCCTCAAAATCCTTGCCTCCAAGGAGCAGTCTAGATTCACTCTCTCTAGGACTAAACTGTTTGTTCTCCTGGCAGTCCATTCAATATTCTTATCCAGCACCACAGCTCAAAGGCATTAATTCTCTTTCTGTCATTTCTAGTCATCGTCCAGCTCTCTGACACAGCAAGCAATTGCGAAAGACTATGGCCTGGATGAGTCGCAGCTTAGTCTCCAGGCTGACATTGTGGCTCTTCAGTACTCTGGAGAGGTTCCTGATAGTTGACTTTCCCAGTGCAATTTTTCTTTTGATTTCCTGACTTCTGGTACCAAGACTGTTGATTGTGGAGCCAAGAAAACTAAAACTGTTAACAATCTGAGTCTTTTCACCATCTATTATAATAATGTTGCCAGTCGGCCATAACAAAAAGAAAACTATTTCTAAAATATTCATATTAGCAGACATATTTGAAAACAACACAATTAATAACAACTTTGTGCCATTATAGTTAAGAAGTATTGATTTTTTAAATTTTGTAACAAATATAATCTAATATTATGTCATTGGCAAAATCGAAATATTAATTGCTTTTATTCACATTTCTCTCAAAGGGAAACATTCAAGAGCCAACCACACAGTTGATAACACTGCATGAAATATTAGAGGTGAGTATTTTGTTTAGTTTAAGTCTACTTTAATATTAGTTTAAATTTTTTTTAGTTTATTTAATCTTTAATATTTCTTTTGGTCATTTGTGAAAAAATAGACCAGCTACCAGTTGATCTGGAGTTGATTCCAACTCATGGTGATGCCATGTGTATCAAATAGGGCTGTGGTGCGTAGGTTTTCAGTGGTTTCGGTTTTTTTTGAGTCCATTTCAAATCCTTCTTCCAGTCCCCTGTGGGGGCACTTTAACTAACATCCTCTTGTTTAACAACTGAGTATATTAAAGGATGTATGGCGGCTTAATGGTTTAGCACTTGACTAGAATCCTGATAGTTTGAACACACTAGCATTTACAAAGGAATAAGGTATAGCAGGCAGGTTCATTAAAGAATATAACCTTTTTGAGGCACTTCTTTTTTTTAAATTTTATTTTATTCATTTTAATGAACATTTACAGAGATTTTGGATTTTCATTCATTGTTGCACTTTTTTCTTTACCCCCCTCCCCCTAGTTCGCTCCTTGCTTTGAAAAGCAAAAGATAAACTTCTTCGTTGCTATACAATCTCCCCGACCCCAACCCTTCAACCCTCCCTGCCCCCCGCCCCAAATGCACTCCACCATGCAACTTTAATTCTGGATTCCTGTGATAATCATAATATGCCATCATATATGACTTTTAAACTGTTCTCTCCCTCATGTGTTTCAATTCAGTATACATAATTTATCCAGTTTTTCTCAGTCTTACCCCAACCCTGATTTTAAGGGACTTCTAATCCTGTGGCCTATGGGGTCATTATAAGTTGGAATTGACTCAATGACAACAGAGTAACCATTTTTACTACCCAGGGATAGATATATATACATAATTTTATAATATAATAACAACTTTGTGCCATTATAAGTATTATAAGTATTTTATAAAAATTTATCATCAGTAAAAGATTAATTTCTGCACAGTATTGAAAAAATATTGTCATTTTTTAAAAGAACTTTAAATTCTAAACTTTAATAACATTCCCAAGACACTATTATAGGGAAATACTTTAAAAATATTTTTATGAGGTTATTTAGCATTTACGTGGTGAAATTCTATGCGAGTTTTTAAAGAATGTTTACTTGGAGACCATGCTGTATTTCGAATCTTTAAGTGTGCTTACGAATCTGTCCACTAAGATTAAAGTTGATGTAGTTCAAAATTTCAGTATAGTGTGTAATATTTCTGTGAATGGCATTATGAAAAGTAGGATATTTAGCAATTTTTGTTGTTGTATGCCATTGAATTAGAACTGATCTATAGCTGACCTTGTTATTGTTGTTATGTGCTGTTGAGTCGCTTGTGACTTATAGCGACCCTGTGTTCAACAGCCCTAAACCTTGCTCTATCCTGCGCTAATCTTATTGTCTCTGACACACCTACCCCCAGTATGCCAGTGACTGAATCAATCCATCTCATCGAGGACCTTAGTGAGCCTTAAAAAAAAAAATCACTGCTAGGAGAATGATTTCAGAAAGCAAGTTTTATTGTCATTTTATGAATTGGGTACCAAAGTCTCTAAGTATCCCCCCTCCCCAACAAACTTGGTTTTGTGCTTCAGGAAATCTGAAACACATAATATTATTGTTTTGAAAAGCAGAATACAAATATTTATTAGATTTGTGATTAGAAGTTTGTAACATGTTTGTTAAAATGTTACCATGCTACTAGTTTGTACTAAAATTGAGACTATTGTTTTACACATATGACTTTTCTTTTTAACAAAGTTATCCCTTATATAACAAATATTGATAGGTGTTAACTGTGAAATACATATATAATCTTTTAAACTATATACTGTGTCATTTTTGTCTCCTAAGCCTATATTGACAATGATAAAAGTAACCAAATATAAATGCAATTTAGTTGAAAAGTAAAACAATGCAAATGTTTATTTGATATTTACATTTTTAGCATTTATTTACTCAAAATTTGGTTAATTAAAATGAAAAAAGCAAAACTAGAAAGATATTAATTTTATGAAAATAAGCACTTACTTTAAAATGGAAATATTTCATTCTTAATGGTTATCCTGAAAGAAATAAGACTCAAAGCTTTATTTCCAGGTGATTAAAGCTTTAAATAGCTAAAATTAATGATAGATGAAAATGTTATTTTGTGAACTGAGATATTGAAAATAAAATTGAATATTGAAATTAGGTCTTAGAATGCCTATTTTAATAATTTCTATAGCACTTTGTATTAAGTTTTTGTTTTTCTATATTTCTTACAATACTTTAATTTTTCAGTTAAATCTTTTACCTTTTAGCTCAGAGATTTGGAATATAATGTATAATCTCGTGCTAATTTGCCCCCTAGCAATCCTTTCATTCATTATATTTTGGTAGTTTCTAAAGGCACTTGGGAAGTAGATGGGGAAGCAGAATAGTATTTTTTCCTTTGTGCTGCTTTGTTTCATAGAATATTAGTGTTCAAAGAGTTCGGGGAAAAGATCCTGAGGTCAGTGGATTTGGGGATGATTCCTAGTACACATTAATAATCATGCTCAAGCTTATTTGAAGACAGAATCCTTCTTAAGAACTAAGGAGTAGGTTAGGGAATATCTTTTGGAATGCAATTTTGAAAAATGCTAGTCTCTATTTTTTTTGTTTTGTTTTGTTTTTAAATTTTTTGTGAAATATTCGTAGTGCATTAGCCATTTCACCATTTTTTCTCTTGTATGATTCAAGAAAACAATTGTACCTATTGCATCTGTGCAACCATCACCAAAAAATGCCACTTTCATCTCTGTAAACAGAAATTCAGTGCTAACTGAATGAAGATTCTGAGCCTTATAATGTAAATACTAAAAACTTCTCAATTTGTGGTTATAACTTTTTATCACTTTATTTTCAGATAATTTCTATCCCAAAATGTTAAGACATTTATGTTTACTTTCTTTTCAACTTTGTATTTTATTTTTATAATTCATTGATTTTGAAAAAGTTTCCTATTTTTAGAAGTGCTTATAACTAAAGATTATTAATCCTAGAAGAAATGGGAGAATTCTAGTTTTTTAAAACCATTTTTGAGCAAGTATTTTCAAAGATAACATGCAGTGATACATTTTAATGACTTCTCCTCCAACTTCACCCCCATTAATATCTATAGTTGTTTATAAAAGGAAATTACTTACTCAAGATAGGACATAAGAATTAGCACTTTAGTAATTGTTGAAGAAGAATGATGCTAACTTTCTTTTGGTGAAAAGTATTAATGCTTTATTACAGTTTTATGATCGTGTTCCTAAGCGAAATATATGAATATTTTTCCTAGATTCTTATAAATAGATTATTTGATGTGCCACATGATCCATATGTCAAAATTAGTGATTCGTTTTGGCCACCTTATATTGAGCTGCTGCTTCGTAATGGAATTGCCTTAAGACATCCAGAAGATCCAAACCAAATAAGACTAGAAGCCTTCCATCAGTAAAAAGATATCATCCTTTCCATGAAATCTTGAAGAATCTTGTCATTCAAGGATACTGGAAACAAGAAGGACTATTTGGATAAAGAACCTTATTTACAAATCAAAGCATATAGTCTATCTTCCTTTAATCCTTGAATGACACCACCTGCTATCTATTAATTGTAAAATGAACTTTTATAACTAAATATTATTTGCAATAACTGCATCAGGAATGGTAAGCGAAATGACCCATTACTGATAGTTGTTTGTCAAATGCTGCTTACTGAATAGTTTTAATATTGTTAAATCATAGGAGATGTTGACTTAGAAATGGCATCAAGTGAAACGTTTCTTACTGTTACCTTACTTGTTTAGTAACTTTTTTCCTAGTTTGTTGTTTGTAAATTTATTTTGGGTTGAATTTTACATATACTACATAAATGTAATTGTTCAAAAAATCATGACATTATAAATGAATTTAAAGTCTTCTTTGATCACAGTTCCAATCTGGATCTTCCATACCATAAGGTAACCATTATTTAATATATTGTAACACTTTTTTTGTATAATATAATCATTCTGGGTTTTTTGTTTGTGTCCGAAATGTATTATTCATTTTAATACATCTTATTTTGTAGTAATTGCAGAACCAACTTACATCATGATGAATTGTTACATATCTGCTCACTATCCACCTATAAAATTCCCATGTTGCAATGCTTAGTTTAGTGTTAATATTTTAATATTGATAAGTCTTTAGTATAGCAGTATAAATGAACTAATTTTGTGGAGAGATAATTTTTGTTTAAGCTCAATTTCAAATTGTTCCTTAATTCTTTTGAGTAATAAAAGATTGTTTTAAACCATAGAAGTGCTCTTTTTAAAAATTTTTTATTGTGATTTGGTAAAAGTTTACAAAGCAAATAAGTTGTCTGTTCAATGATCCATATGCATTTTGTTACAAATAGTCTATTTGATTCAATATGAGGAGTACCATTTCATTTTCTTATATACTTGATTATAGGAATCTGAGCATGTGTATTGGCAGAAATATGTGCGATAATCATGGGTAATTCATATGGCTAGACTTATAAAGATAATGTAATGTAAGGGAAATGTTTATATTCTTTTGAATATTTGGTTAATAACTAATACATTTATCTGTATAACAACAACAACAAAAATAACAGAGAATCCTGGTGGCTTACTTTGTAAATTTAATTCTAATTTAGAATTATTAGGGTTTGGTCAAGGTAAGGTACTGTGCTACCAACCCAAAGGCACATGGTTTTAATTTGTCAGCTGCTCTACAGGAGAAAGACATTCTTCTCCCACGTGATTTTAAACCTCTGGGTCAGCTATGAGTCAATCCTACTCAACAGCAGCTAAAAACAACAGCAATTTCTAGGCCATATCTAATTTAAAATAGTATAATTATGAATAATTTAAAAGAAAAATAATTATAAATGCTCAATTGTATAGTATAAAAGGGAGCCTTAAAAAGATGAAATAACTGTTTTAGAATTAATCAAGACTAGATAATATCCTATTGAATGCCAAAAGAACAAATAGATATGTCTTGGAGAAGGTGCAACCAGTGTTCCTTGCAGGCAAAGATAATTAAACTTTACCTAACATATTTTGGGCATGTTGCTGTTGTTTTTTGTTGTTATGTGCTGTCGAGTTGTTTGCGACTCATAGCGACCCTATGTACAACAGCCCTAAACCCTGCTATATCATGTGCCAATTTCACTGTCTCTGATATACCTACACCCATTACCTCAGTCTCTGAATCAATCCACCTCAGAGA